CACCACTGTCTGTTTCCACCGAGCAGTGCATGACAGTAACAGCATGCAGTTTCAGTGGAATGTTTTTTTCTGAAACCAAATTGCATCGGATGTAAAAAGGACCTAGAGTTCAGATGTGCTATTAATTGTTCTGCCACAACCTTTTCGATAACCTTTGACACAGCTGGGAGAATACTGATGGGTCGGTAGTTAGAGACCACTTGGGTATCCCCAGATTTGTGCACAGGGGTGACAATGGCATATTTAAGCACACTGGGAAAGATATTTTCATTAAAAGACTTATTTATAATCATCGCTAGAGGTATCATAATAGATGTCTTGTGCTGTTTTAAAAAAGCTGTATCACAACCATATATGTCTTTAGCTTTACTATTAGATAGAAGTGAGATTACACTTTCCACTTTCTCTGGGATGATTAAAGAGAACTTGAAAGCAGCATCACTACAGGTTAAAGCTTGTGTAATTTGAATTTTTGGGAATCTTAAACTCAATTCTTTTACTGAATTTATAAAATAATCATTAAAACATTCCCCAATAATCCTATCATCATCCTGAATACAACCATCCACCACAAGTTTTAAGTGTTTATTTGCTGATTTTTCCCTTCCTAGTAATTTGTCAATGCTCTTCCATAATTTTTTAGGGTTTCCTTTTGCCTCATTAATAACTTTGAGGAAGAAGTTTGCTCTTGCTTTTCTAAGTTGTTGTGTTACTTTATTTCTTAAACTTTTAAAAATCAGGTGATCAGTATTTAATTTTGTTTTTAAAAACTTTTTCAAAGAAGCATCCCTTTTTTTCATCATTTCCCAGAGATTAGTGTTAAACCAGGGTAGATTATATTTTTTATTTGTTTTCTTGCCCCTTTTCTTGGTGTATTTTAAAATAATGTCTTTAATAGTTGACATTAAATCAGCACTAGCTGGCTCACAGGGCATACTACCAATTTTGTCATACCAGTTTACTTGCTTTATCTCATTTTCAATAAAGGCCATGTCCTTTGGAGCGATAAAGGGCATGGAATTCCCCTTCACCGAATTCAGATTTTTAAAGCGTGTTTTTGACAGTTTCCTGGAGACCAAAGTAAGATTATGATCTGATAGCCCAGTGATAATGTTATAAATCTTTTTAATTCTATCTGGTTTATTTGTAAAAATTAAATCTAAAAGTGTTTGGGAAGATTTTGTTATTCTTGTAGGCTTATGGATTATCTGCATCATCTGAAAAGTTTTGGCAATATCTTTAAGCTTTTTCCTACGCGTTTTGTCTTGCCAATTTAAATTGAAATCACCCATAAGAATAACTTCCATTTTTCCATGTTGTTTAAGTATAACATTTAGACAATCATAAAATTCATTTGTGGCGGTAGGAGGGCGGTAGACTGCAAAGACAGCAAAATACATTTGGGGAGATAATGTAATTTTTACCCCCAAGCATTCCAGATTGTTTTCTGAAAAAACTATTTGCTGACTTTGAATGCTGTCTTTAACATAAATCAGGACTCCACCCCCTTTCCCTTTCCTTCTGTCCCGTCTGTACACATTATACCCTGGAATATTAAAAACAGATAAAGGTGTTGTTGAGGTTAACCAAGTCTCTGTGAGGCATAAGTAGTCGATGTTTGAGTCCGTTAATAAATGTTCAAGTTGTTCGGTCTTTGAAATAAGGCTACGTATGTTCAAGTGGCCACCAAAAATGCCTTTCGGCTTCGTTTTAGCGTCCCACAACACACTCGCATGATTTACAGTCTGAAACAATTTCATCTGCTGCTGTTTAAGGCACGAAGTTATCATCATGTTTGTTGGAGGAATATTACCTCGAGTTCCCGCGTCGGTAAAGGCAGCATGCTTCGCTGGGATGTCAAAATCAGCCGTTTGGTCAATGTCCAAAGATCTCGGTCCAGGATTTGAATGGACATCTCCACACAAAAGGAGGATTGCGCAGAGAACGACGGCTGGGCCTGGCTTTGTTGACATAGATGTAGAATGTCCACCCAGCTCACTTTGTGCACGCCTCGCTCGACCATCATCCAGGATGTTTGAGTATAGGATATACTGGCTCCACGAGACCACCGGCACACCGACAGCGAGTTTTGCAGGTGAGTCCATAAGCACACGTTTAGAGGTAGAGCTCCAGCTCACCCATATCTGTGAGCCCATCAGAAAAAGCAGGTGCATCACCAAAATAACGTGGTGTAAGGACGTATTAATTTTTAACAGAGTTTTTATATCGCCGAGGCGATAAGTTTCATGTCATATTTTATGATAACCTGGCGGTCTCCCAGTATGGTTTAGGAGAGGTAAGACAGCAGTACCTGCCACTCTGCCGCTACCAGCCGCCATCTTTTTTTCAAGGAAAAAAAAAAAACAGACACAGTCTCTATATGATGATATCCAGATGAAAGAGTCTCTTTGTGATGGGATTTATCTGACCTCAGTGACGTGAGACAGTTGGCAGACGGTCAGTTTAGCCAGTCTGTCTGCTTTCTGACCTGAGCCCCAGATTGTCATGTTTGAGCTCTAAGACTATGTGCCATATTACTAGAGAGAAGAGCAGCACCATCCCAGGAGGGATGAATACCATCTCTTTTCAACATGTCAACTTTTCCAATTGTCTATGAATTCTATATCATTTTGCGGACACCACTTAGTCTTCCTCTCATTTCAACCAGATGATCCCACAGTAGCTGCACGGATCTCAAGCTGTCTTGCGGACATCTCGGCATGGATGAAGGAACATTACCTGCAGCTCAACCTGGCAAAGACTGAGCTTCTCATCCTCCCTGCCAATCTGTCTCTACAACACGACTTCACTATCCAGCTAGATTCTTCCTCAATCACCCCATCAAGGTCAGTCAGAAATCTTGGAGTAATATTTGATGACCAGCTGACCTTCACAGACCAAATTACAAAGACAACTCGATCATGCTGGTTTGCACTGCACAACATCAGGAAGATCAGGCCTTTCCTAACTGAGCATGCAACACAACTTCTCGTCCAGGCCCTGGTCATATCTACGCTGGATTACTGCAATGCTCTTCTGGCTGGACTTCCATCATGTTTAACTAAACCTCTACAAATGATCCAGAATGCTGCAGCTCATCTCGTCTTCAACGAGCCCAAAAGAGCCCACGTCACTCCTCTGTTCATCTCTCTGCACTGGCTACCACTCACTGCTCGCATCAAGTTCAAGGCATTGACGCTTGCTTAAAGATCTATCACAGGTTTAGCTCCGTCTTACTTTCACTCGCTCCTACGAGTCTACATCCCTACCAGAAGCCTACGATCAGTCAATGAGCGACGGCTTGTGGTACAATCACAGAGAGCCAAAAAATCACTCTCTAGAACATTCTCATTCACGGTACCATGCTGGTGGAATGATCTGCCCACCCTCATCCGGAATGCAGTATCCCTGACAGCATTCAAAACACAGCTGAAAACTCATCTCTTCCGTGAGCACTTAACCTCATAAAAAAAAAAAAAAAAAAAACTCTTTCCTTTTCCCTTAAAGGGATACTTCAGGATTTAGCATTAAGCTTTGTATCAGTCGAAAACCAGTAGTATTTTCGAATTACCGTGCTTCCCCCCCCTCATATCCCCCTGATATGAGAGAAAAATACATTTTTAGTTTGGAAAAAATCCTCCGATGACGCAAAAATCGTCATTTTGCGTCATCGGAGGATTTTTGTGCCAGAGGCTAAAGACTACAGCCAGTGTTCCGCATGTTTTCACCACGCCCATATGGGGCGGGATCTCACTCACAGAATGTAAAGATAGTGTCAGTCATCTTTCTGTAGAAGCTAAGCTAACAGACTCTTGCCTCTTGGTCTGTGTAGAAAGTTTGTATAGTAGGCTAATCACGATGGCGGAAGGTAGTTTTGAAGTTGACATGGCAGAAGGGGATTTCGAAGATCTGTTGCGAGAATCTGATGCTCGCGGCTACCTGTACGAGCCGCAATACAGCGATAAACAGAGAGCCCGGCCAGACTCGAGCTGGGGCGGACTGGCGGTGTCAGTGCTCTCGCTGTGCGCCTATGGAAACAGATATAGAGTCCTATTGCTGTCGCGAATCTCAGCGATGCCATTTTCTTCTGGACGAGATCGCTGAATCCGCAGAGCTTTGAGTGTAAAAGTGTTAATATTCGTTATTTTTTTAATTAAAAGTTATAACTCACATTGGTTGTGGTTCTTTTTATAAACCTTTAGTGTTACTAGAGTATGGATTAGCCTAGATAATGTATTAGCTTAGAGAAATAGTGATTTCAATTGGAGGAAAACAGTTCATATGCAGAGCTAATAAGCTACTCTGTTGACATGGTCCTGCCTTGCATCATATTTTTAATGTAAAAGTCTAAGTTGTGTTATATACATTAGGCTAGTACATCCCGGCACAACGCAATTTAGCACCATTTCGATGGAAATTTATCAAATAACTCGATGTATCTAACGATGTATCAAAGCAAGCCTAGTTTTATCCATTTTTCGGATTCTGCCGCATGTAACCGGTAGGCGTGGTTTGGGAGTGGCCTCGTAAGGGCAGCAAAGCAAGTGCATTGTCTTTCAGCCACATGAGTAAAAAATACATTTTCTGCCTTTTCTCAGTCTAGAATGCTTCAATTTCAAAAATAATTTCACATTTCTACTATATAAATGACCAATATTAAATACACATTCATCTTCCCAGAGGTGAAGTATCCCTTTAATCCTCCCTTGTTTGGCTTATGCTACTCTGAGAAATGCCTGCACTTTGTATTTTGAGCACTTCTTGCGTTGTTTTTGCCTCTTCACGATCACTCGCTTTAATTTAGTCCTAATTTGTACGTCACTTTGGATAAAAGCGTCTGTCTATATGTATATACTGAATACATATATATATATTTAAACATCATATTTTTGCCAGAGGTTAGAATTTGTTGTAATTATTGTTGTTGTTGTTGTTGTTGGAGGTCTTTTAAAATGTCTTTTTTGCAATAATGCCACATAGCACTGGGATCAACAGAGTGGACAGACTCTCACTTAGTCACTGGAAAAGCAGATTCAACAAAATGTCTGGAAACCTTCTAAAAAATCCTGATGGAGATGATTGTCTGGAACACTGGGAGATAACAGAGAATGGAGGCGACAAGTGGCGGTCCGAGGACATGCCGTGGGACTGTGGACACACTTACAATAATTAATCAATTGACTTGCTGGAAGAGGGTTACGTCCCCGAAAATTTTGATATTGCACAGCCAGCTGTCAGTGTGGAGGACTGGTACTGTGGTCGAACAGATTGTGGGTGCATTTATACACTCACTGTGTCCCTACTTGATGAAAGCCAAGAGGTCATTGATGAATTTAACCCTCTGGGGTCTAAGGTGTTTTTGGGGTCCTTGAGATATTTTGACATGCCCTGACATTTGTGCTTTTTTCAGTTGCTTATAAACATATTAATGGCACAGGTGTAATTACACTCTATTTAGCACAAACAGGGCTACCATAATATGTGAGCAACATGTATGTACATATTTGTATTTTTGAGAAAATATTGTTTATGCATGGTTATTGAAAAAACTAAAAATTAAAGTTTCTGAAATAAGGCCGCAAAACACATATTGATTATTTCTTCACAAGACTTTTGAAAATTGTATCACATAGTCTAGAATATTTGCTCCAAAACTATGTGAGAATCATCCTGACTACTCATTCAAATAAGTCAATAAAGTATTTTACATTTTTAATGACGTGTTTTGTGTCAGAAAGCTTTATGCGAAGGGGCATGATCTCTCATTAATATATATGCATTTCGCACCTGAGAAAGACAAAGACCCTCCCATAATGGCCCTATTAGGTGCTATCAGGCCCTATCATTACGAGGAGCCTTGCACAAAGAATGAGAAGATTTAAAAAAGAATGGCTTTTAGATTGTTTGGATTTATTTACAACACAACATAATCCAAATATACACAACAAAGGACAAAAAAGCACATTAGTAAACACACTGATCTAAAGACAGAGGCTTGAACAGTCACACAACATTGTCCCATTCCTGAAACATAGTACATACCTGTCATTTCCAAGGTGTTTGATTTTTCATTTTACAATGTTTCATGTACAGAGACTGTTGAATGTTGAAGTCAGCAGGACTCATCAGTGGCATCTCGTCCCTGTAAAATAAAATAAAATAAAAAATAAGCACCTTTGAACATGCTGATATCAAGAGAAACTATATGGCTGCACGACTTTGGGCATGCATTGTAGATTTTTTTGGTTAAAATTGCGATTAAATTATATATATATATATATATATATATATATATACACACACACACAGTGCTTAGAGAATAAGTGAACACACCCATGCTAAAGTTGACTACCCTTCACAATATAGACATGGTTTTATTTCAGTTAGCCTAACTGAACATTTATACATAAATAATATATTGTATTTAGACAGTATCACATATTTTACCGGAGGCTGAAATATATTTCACTAAATCATTATATAACCTAAGCAGTTATTTGCAAACAAAATAAATTACGCATAAGGCAGTATTTTAGCATGATAATCAGTGTCATAAACTGTCATGAAAGAGCGCGTACACAGCTTTATCTAACAACTATGTCATTATTAAACAGGCCGCCTCGATTCCCATCATCACACTGCTCTGCACTTCCGTGCTCTACCCCACCAGCCCCCGCCTACATCCATAGGTGGGGTCCAATCACAGCACATACACAATAAGACTAACACAGCTTTATCTAACAACTATGTCTTTATTAAACAGGCCGCCTCGATTCCCATCATCACACTGCTCTGCACTTCCGTGCTCTACCCCACCAGCCCCCGCCTACATCCGTAGGTGGGGTCCAATCACAGCACGTACACAATAAGACTAATTCCACACATAAACTAATCTCAAAACTGAGTGAAATATATGTAGTCTAATATCACATTTAAAAAGTTTACACAAGCGTATAGGCCTACGTATAGAGATATTGTGACTGTGAGGTAATCTTTCCTATGTGAAAAGCTAGCTAAAACTAGGCAAAATATAGTCTGAAAATTCATTTGAGCTCTATAATCAGAAAAGGAATTATATAACACTAAACAACTTACTCCGAGCTTGTATCCTCGGCGGGGTCAATTCGTTCTTCAAAATGCAGCCGTTGGTCGTCCGAGTTTCAAATTCCTCTGAGGAAAAGGTGAATCCTTCCCCGCTGTCCAGATTTATCTGAAGGAGTAGAGTGCCATTCTCAAAACGCGATGAACTATCAGTGAATCTGATGGAGAAACTTCATATTTTTATGCCATTGATTGCTGGGCGTGTGCTATGCATAACGTTAGATCACCTATTTACCATGTGAAAAGCGCTGGGGGCGTGGGGGCCTCAGCTAATTAAAGATAATGAACTGAGAACGAAAAAACTGTACCTCTCCTTGGTTTCAAACGGATTACATAAACTGGAAATATTTCTTTTTTTAATAAATTACTTAAAAATTACTTCTTTAAATTATTTAAAAGAAGAGAATACAAGCTTTAAAAAGACACATGTCTCGTATCTCTGTGACAAGTATTGACTTAGTTACAGTTCATTTTTCGGACGCGTTTCAGAATGGACCTCACTGACAGAGAGAACGCAGAACGCGCAGAGAGAACGCAGAACGCGCATCATGTTTATTTTTCTTTATTTGGCGAAAAGCACAACAAGGTTCCACAAAAAAAATACAAACTTAACAGGATCGAATGATGTATAACACTTATATGTAAGATCAAAATCAACAGAGTAATTTGAGTCTCTTTTGCACTGATAAGGAAAAAAGTGAGCTGGTATCGCCGGCGATACCGCCGACCCCAGAGAGTTAAGCCGAATGAAGTGATCCTTGACCCAGACTGCGACGACTGCTCTTGTAGAAAGGTGAGCCACACATTCACAGACTACAGCCTGGGCCTACGCTTCATCTCTTTTGAACATGGCGGTCAAGACACCAAGTGTTGGCAGGGCTGGTTTGGAGTGAGAGTTAGTGGTAGCTCTGTTAACATAGACCTCCAAACACCAATCAGAAAAAAATTAGGGCTGTCAAACGATTAATCGCGATTAATCGCATCCAAAATAAAAGTTTGTGTTTACATAATATATGTGTGTGTACTGTGTACAATTATTTTGTATATAAATGCACACACATGCATGTGTATTTAAGAAATATTTGCATGTATATACTGTATAAAGACTGAATGTAGCCTATATATAATGTATATTTTATATAAATATAAACATTTTATATATAAATAACATATTTTTCTTAAATATATACGTGTGTGCATTTATATAAAAAATAATTATACACAGTACACACACATATATTATGTAAACACAAACTTTTATTTTGGATGCAATTAATCGTGATTAATCGTTTGACAGCCCTAAAAAAAATATATGATTGATTGCCTAAAAAAAGATTTTCTCGCAACTTTCTTTTATTTTTGCACATGCTGTACTAAGTATAATACTATCTAAGTATAATACCAACAGCTGAAGATTATACATGTAATGCCAAGCATTAAAAAAGCATCTGACTAGATTAGAATTCATTTTACTTAATTTTTTTAGAACTTGTAAAGTAACGTTCTGCTCAACCACTAACTACCTCTATATGCTCCTGCAAGCTAGAGTTATCTTACATTAATAATGCGCTTCTAAGAGTTTCTTTATGCAATTAGCATCTTCTAATGTGGTATAAAATCCAAATAGGTCTAGATCATGATCATGCCACATTAAAAATTATAATAATAAACGAATGACAAAAAAAGTACTACCTTTGACAGCGTCTTATGATTCAGCCTCAATTATCGCCCCTCAAGAACAATTGCAGTGCTTTTACAACAGGAGCTAAACAAGAGCTAAATAAACTTATTGCATCTAAACCAACAACATGTTTATTAGATCCAATACCCACTAAATTACTGAAAGAGTAGTTACTTGTAGCAGAAGAGCCTCTTCTCAATATTATTAACTCGTCTTTATCTCTAGGTCATGTTTCAAGATCGTTCAAGCTGACAGTTATTCAGCCTCTCATAAATAAATTACAATTAGATCCAAATGAATTAGCAAATTACAGACCCATCTCAAATCTTTAATTTATGTCTAAAATACTAAAAAAAAGTTGTGTCCACTCAATTGTGCTCTTTTTTGCATAATAATGATATTTGTGAAAAATTTCAGTCTGGATTAAGGCCTCATCATAGCACAGAAACGTCCCGTGTTACGTATGTAACCCTAGTTCCCTGAAGGAACGAGACGCTGCGTGAAACGCTGCGGGAACGCCTCCTGCGTTGTGCGTCGTGAAGCAAGTATGGAATCAGCCCAACGGCGAGATGGAACGTCACGAGTGACGTCATCGACCAGGAAACTATAAAGCACACCCATGAACACAATGGCGACAGCTTCTGGAAAAAGTCTGAAGCAAGTCGATCAAGGGAATGCCGGGAGTATGGCAACGACACGCAGCGTCTCGTTCCTTCAGGGAACTAGGGTTACATACTTAACCCGGGACGTTCCCTTCCAGGAACGTCGAGCTGCGTGAAACGCTGCGGGAACGCTAATACCCACGTCGCCATAAGAGCAAGTGACCGACTGTGTGAATCAAGGATTAAATTCAGCCGAAAGCACCTGCGCCCCAGGGGTGGAGCTAAGGTCTAGGTCAGCGGTTCCCAAACTTTTTTTCCTGCGCACCCCCTTCTATGTCCCAACCGGGTTGGCGCACCCCCAATCCCCACTTCAAACAAAAAAAATGCAACAAAGCTTTGTTTAATCGCCATATAAAGACTCATGTTTAATCATGCACTAATAACCAGAACACGCATGACAATAACAACATCAACAAAGTTTCAATATAATGCAACAAAGCTACGCACAAGCTTCCACTTTTAACCATTTCACACGTAAGTTTAAAATATTTTAACTGACCCCCCAGCGTGAGTTTTTCAAGGCGACCGTTATTTAGAACTTGTCACTTTAATGTTTCCATGGTGACGCGTCATTCCTTGTCACGTGACACAGCGCAACCACAACACAGCGCTGAATGAATGATGATCTGCTTTTATGTCATTTTTCCTTTTTTATCAAAAATATTCACAAATGTATTAGCTATAGCATGAAACACTGATATTCCGATTGTCAAATATGTGCAAGTGGATGTGTTTTATTGTTCAAACACCTTCATAACGATCGTTAGTTTGTGCCACAGTTCAGAGAATCGGATCTGTTGGATTTAAAAGTGAAAGTAAGAGGCCGGTGAACTGGGAGAAGAATAGGGTAAAATGTGAAGCTCTTGTGTCGTCTTATTATAATGAAAAGGATTAATATTGCCGCTTCCATAGAAATCAGCAAAATCAAAATCATTGTTTTGCTAGTACTTATGTGTATTTAAATGTCTGAAACCTAAAATAAACATTATGTTGTTGAAAACACTCAATGGTTGTGATATATGACAGCACTGGCTCAGCGCCAGCCATCGCGCGAAAGCACATTTGTCACGTTAGCGGCTGCAGTGCAGAGCAGTGCGTAGAAGACAGCAGCTGTTTTCAACGTTTCTATCAAAAACGAATAAATTATAGGGTTTTTTTTAAAATAAAAGCGATTACAAAGGAAATGTTTACTGTTCATGGTTTTTATTTTATTGTATGGAAAAATCCCACTTACAAAACAGACCGCCATTACATTTTTCCTCCTACTTGCTCATCCTCTGCTTAGACACTGGGGACCCCTTCTTAGGGGGTCCAAAACAAACGAACAGCTGTTCTGATTTCCTCCACAGGGCAGCTCTGTGGACGTAGGCGTCTAGAGCCCGAACAGGGCAGAGCAGATTAAGTTTTTCCTGATCAGACGATGTAAAAGGAGGAGGACAGAAGGCCTGCAGAACTATAGGTCTGGCCACATTGGTAGGAACCTTAGGGACATAACCTGGCCTGGGGTGGAGAAAAGCCTTCACCATTCCAGGTGAAAACTCCAAGCACGAGGGAGCAACCGAGAGAGCCTGAATATCTCCGATTCTCTTAAGAGAGGAAATGGCAAGGAGAAAAATAGTCTTCAAAGTAACAAAGTTATCAGCAACTTTTTCAATAGGATCAAAGGGAGCTAGGGAAAGACCTTCTAGGACGAAAGCTAAGTCCCATGCTGGCACCCTCGTGCGGACTACAGGCCTCAGCCTCAAAGTACCACGAAGAAAGCGAGTTATAAATGGGTGTCTCCCCAAAGAGACTCCACTGAAAGGGACATGGTAAGCAGCAAGTGCCGCCACATACATATTAGTGTGGAGGGGGATAGCCCTGAGGAGAAACGCTCCTGCAGGAACTCCAGCACTGCACCCACTGGGCAGTTAACAGGGTCCAACAGGTGTCCTCCACACCAAGAAGTGAAGAGCCTCCACTTCAAGGCGTATAACCTCCTCGTGGAAGGAGCTCTGGAGTGAAGGATGGTCTCAACAACCTCGGTTGAGAGACCAGCCCCTACGAGCTGGGCCCCCTTCAGTGGCCAAGCCCATAGCTTCCACAACTCTGGGCGGGGGTGAAATATCAACCCGCTCGCCTGAGAGAGAAGGTCCCTCCTGATCGGAATCTCCAGAGGAGAGCCGTCTAGAAGAGACACTAGGTCCGCAAACCATGCTCGGGCCGGCCAAAAACGGGGCTACCAATAATAGACTGACCCCGTCCCGGCGAACCCTCTCCAGAACTCCTGGGAGCAGAGCAATCGGGGGAAAGGTGTACAGGCGTGACCTCGGCCCCAGCGGGGCTGGATGACTGAGAGAAAACCACAGTGGACAGTGTGATATCTCCCTGGATGCAAATAGGTCTACCTCGGCACGATCGCACTGCGTCAAAAGGAGCTCCACCACCTCGGGATGGAGTCTCCATTCCCTGGGCCTCGGCCCCTGCCTCAACAGGACGTCCGCTCCCTGATTTAAATACCCCGGGAGATAAATCGCCCTCAATGAGAGAAGCTTCCCCTGGGACCATAGAAGGATCTGGCGAGCCAGATTGTATAACGGCCGAGAGCACAGACCCCCCTGATGGTTTATATAAGAGACCACCGATGTGTTGTCGGACCGGACAAGAACATGATGACCTCTCAGGTCTGGCAGGAAATGTTTCAGAGCCTGAAACACTGCCAACATCTCTAGACAATTTATGTGCCAAAACCGATGATGGTCCTGCCACAGACCCTGGGCTTGGCGACCACTCATGATTAGGGATGGGAATTGATAAGAATTTAACGATTCCGATTCCATTATCGATATTGCTTATCGATTCGATTCCTTGTCGATTCTCTTATCGATTCTCATTGGGTGAGGGAATAAGTACAAATTTGTTTGTTTGTATTAACTTATTGAACTTATAACTTATTTGTTTGTTAATTGTTATTAACTCGCTGACACAGCACAGAGTATTAGGGGTGTGAACCTACACTGGTCTCATGGTTCGGTTCGATTACAATTATCATGTCATCGATTCAGTTCAATTCGATATCTCGATGCATTACATGCACTGCATCCTCAATTTTACTTCAAAAGTGATGTGTGCGTGCGTGCGCGTGTTCACCTGTTCGTGAAGTCGCAGTGACAGAAACAGTGACATAATGACATTCCAGTTTAAGTTTCATGGGACTAAAGTCTGTTCATGCTGTGTGGCCAAATGTTTCTGCATATTTGAGGTCCCCCCCCCCCCCCCCCCCCCCCTTTGACGAAATGGAAATTTTACAGGTGTTGCAAGTGACCATATTGTTATGAGACGCCGTCATACTCTCATTGAGTGTGTGTGCTCGCGTCTCATATAAGTATGTGCGTGGAGAGTTTGTGAGTGCGCGCGCGCGTCTCATATGAGTATGTGCCTGGAGAGTTTCACGCATCTCGTGTGTGTAGAGTTTGCGTGTATGCGTGAGTGACTTTAGGTGTGTCGTTGTGAATTTCATATGTATTTGTTTGAGCATTCAGCAGTATACATGTATGTTTGACTACTTAGTATACGTGTATGCAAGTGTTTCGCTGGGCCCGTCTGGGCCCGTCTGTGCCCCGACACGAAGGCGGGGTTGGCAGA